TAGTACCATCGAAAGAGACAATAACCAGGAAACGTGACAATCAAACTAATGTTGATAGTGAAAAGGATCTAATTGAAATTATCATTGAATTGAAAAGGAAAAAAAATGTTGTTTCGCAGAGATTATTCGTCGCGATATGATTCGAGAAGGAGATAAACATGGATAAATTCTCACTTCGTTGGCCTAGAAAATCCCAACCATTTCATGTCGAACTTGACAGAGATGCAATGAATTACTCTTCCATATCGACCGACGACCTAGTTTAAGATACATACTTAAAATGTCACACGGATTTGTTTACTAGAATGTGAAGGAAAAATGTTTTAAGACCGCTTTTGGATGCTGATCGATTGAAATTATCAAAAAGAAAATCACAGGACTTTAGGCATAATAAAACGGTCTATATTATTTCAAATGAAAAATAAAAATAATTTCCTATGTATTTTATTTAATTTAAAAAGATATAAAAATATTCATTTCGATCCTAAAATACCAACTTGAACTGTAGTGAGCATTTATTTTTTTTTGGTTCAAACTCCCTCCAAAATTTGAAAAAATATAATTAAAAAAAAAAAAAAAAGGGGCATTGCTTTAAGTTGGAGTAGTCTTTATTTCAAAACGAAAAAATTTGACGATGGCTATGGTAACAGCCGCACAATCCCATTGTCATTTCTAGCCAAAGATATCATCTTTTATTCAAAGTCGAGTACGAAAATTATTGTGCTAATTTCATACTAAAAATGAAGTCGTTAGACAATCTCTAGAGCCAAATATAGACTTCATTAACGTGTTGAAATTTAAGAACTCCAAATTTCTCTCTTTTCATGTCCATAGTCTTTGCTCAAAGAGAGAACCTCTTTCAGTGTGAATATTGTTATTTCATTCATACATTTTTTGAAACACTTTGTTTCTCTTTTCAACTATTATAAAGGATATTGTACTACATTTGACTATAAATGACCGAAATGAACAAATAATTTTACTTATAAAACGATTGTCGTCGTGTTAAGGGTAATTTTCACGTAGAATAACGATGGAGTAATATTCAATATATAAGATTGTTAGCGTTTAAGATGGATACTCGATTTCTAATGTGGTAGCCCATTAAGTTAAAATGGACAATAAATCTGATTAAATACACAAATTTCAAGATTGATGTGTAAAAATCTTTTGAGTAGTAGAAAGATCCTTTAAAAAAATCTCCCTCTCAAAATCACCCGGGTGACTTAAAACTAATCACGAAGGCGCACTATGACACTTTTAGTACGATAAATTAAATAATACCGAACACTTTTAATAAAAAATAAATAAATTGTTTTATAATTTATATTATTTAATTTCCTCTAACTTTCTAAGACAACATTTCAAACTATAAACATACACATAATTATCTCTTGATTT